TTTCCTCGCAACTGGGCCACCCTAGCGGCTTGCTGGATGCGCGGGCCCTTCGGGGCACCGCGACTGCCGCGCAGTCCAGGTTGGTCAAGGGCAGGGAAAATCTCCCTTCCCCCTCCCCCCAGTTCCGTATTCTTTGGAGCCGGAGTGTTCTTGGCCATGGATTTCGACTCCGGTGTGGCCTGTAGGCCCTCAAGCATAACCTGGCCTATATAATGCTATCCGATATCGAGATCACTGGCTGGGCACAACGACAGCTGGGGCTTGGGCGAAGCAGGAGGCCAGCGCATCGCGGGCTGGGCGCTGGCCATCGCCTCGGGCCTTTAGTCGGAAGCCATCGGCTTAACTAGCTGCACCCTTCCGGAGGGCAGCCCGATCCTGGTCGAAGACACGGAGAAGGCCCAGGGGAGGATCCAGTCGCGCAAGGTCAAGTCGGGGGCAGCGAGTGGCAGCAAGAGCGCCGGCGCGAAGTGGCCAGCGGATTACGAGAAACATTTCAAGGCGGCAAGCTTGTCGTGGAAGGGCCCTTTTCGATCAGCGCTTGTTCTTGCTTCTTCCCGCGCCCCGCCTCTGTCCTGGCAGCCGGTTTTGCTGCCTCCCTCCTTCCGTCGCCCCATGTTGTTCTCCTCCCAGTTCCTCCTCCACTTTGTTACCTGCTCTGTGAGAGCTCTATTTTGGATTGCCCCCGTTGCTTGCCATTGTAGCCCCAGCATCTTCGATGCTCCCAGGAACCTGGGGCAGCTCCAAGCACCCGGAATAGACCCGCATCTAGGATATATCCCAGTGTCGAGGGTAGGCGCAGGCATCTTGGGTAGCTGCCGGCACCCTAGCCGCTCGAGGAACTATTTTAGCATTCGTAGCTTCATGTGCTCATATCCATAGCCATAGCCATGGTCAGTGGATGGGTCTCGGCATCTTGAGTAGTTTCCGACATCTTGGCATGCTCGGATAGTTCCAACCCCGGCAGATCTTCGCATGATTTCTCTATGTGCCTTGCCCGCTGCAGCACAGGAAGCCTGGCGCGGCCCTCGATAACGACGCGCGGCCCCAGGGCCTGTCGAGGCGCGAGCAGGAGGTTATGCTCTTTAACCTGCAGACTGAGAGTCTGCGCGAGAAGAATAATCAGGAGAAGGATCTGTCGTGATCCTTCTCCATGTCTTCCTTGGTCTCCTCCGCCCCAGCGCCCCCTCCTTCCCTGCTCCCTTTGTGAGCGGGGCGTAGGGAAGAGCAGCCGATCCAGGAACTGTGCTCCGTTGACGTGTCGCAGTCGCTGGACAGGGTCGGCAGAGGCTGCGACGGCGCGGTGCAAACCATTTGCCCGCGCGCGGAGAGCAAGGGCAATGCGTGTTTTCGCCATCCACCCCGTCCTCGGACCCCATTGTCGGTTTCCCGATCGCTTCTTGCGGTGGATAAATTCTTTGGGGTCCGATGAGGGGGGGGCTTGGGGCGGGGGGGCGTATTGCATTATCGCTGATGCAGTGGAGGTATACTTTGGCTCCCCGCGTGCTCATCATCCACCTCCCGAGCGTCGCTCGGAGGAGACTCGGTCGGTCAAGTAGGAGAGTTGCTCACTGGTTTCGAGGCTCTGCGCATCCGGGTGCCCCCCCGCCAGCTGGCCGCGCGCCCCGACCCGCGCTCGGCCGCCCCGGACAGATAGAGAGAGAGCGTGGAGAGGGCGGGGTAGCGACGCGGCGATGGCGATGGAGAGACGGAGAGAAAGAGAAAGAGAGAGAGAGAGAGAGAGACATATAGAGAAATAGAGAGAAATATAGAGAAAGAGAGAGAGAGAGAGAGAGAGAGAGAGAGAGAGAGAGAGAGAGAGAGATAGAGAGAGAGAGAGAGAGAGAGAGAGAGAGAGAGAGAGAGAGAGAGAGAGAGAGAGAGAGAGAGAGAGAGAGAGAGAGAGAGAGAGAGAGAGAGAGAGAGAGAGAGAGAGAGAGAGAGATATTGTGATCCCGGGGGGCGAAGGTTGAGTTGCGTCTCTTCCTGCGCCGTCCTGCCCCGCCCTTCCCCGCCTCTCCCTCCGCGCGCCCAGCAGCCCAACCGTCTTTCTTTTTCCGCGCCCTCTTGCCGTCTTTTCCCCCCTCCCCCGCGCCGCGCCCTCTCGCCTATCGATTGCCCCCCCCTCCCCCGCCTCGCCCCCCCTTCGTCCTCTCCCCGTCGCCCCCCCCCCCCCCTCTATTGATTGCCTTTCCCTCCTCGCCCTCGTCATCTCGCATCTCCCCCGTTTCATCCCCCTCCTGGCCCCTCTGCTAATGTTGCGTTGCGTTCCCGAGTATCCCGGCGCGTTCCTCATGGACCTCGCCGGCAACGTGTTCACCGTCAGTTGTTTCGCATCGATCAACGTCGGTGCGTTCAGCGTGCTGCCCGCCAGGCCAAGCCCAAGGATGCGCGTCGGGGCCCGGCCTCCGCGGAGGCCATCGCGAGCCTGCTGCTGCCCGATGCGTAGGCCAGACGCGTGGGCCAGTCCCGCTGCCAGGCCCGCTGCCCCCTGCCCCAGCCCGCTGCCGGGCCCGCTCGACCCTGCCGCTGCCTCGCGCGTAGGCCGGGCCGCCCGCCGGGCCCCGTGCGAGCGGCGACCGACCTGCGACCGACCCGTGGCCGCGCTGTCCGTGCGGCGCTGTTTGTGCCCGCTCCTTTCTGCTTCCCCCCCTTTCATTCCGTGCTCCTCCCCCTGCCCTGCCCCCTCCCCTCCCTTGCTGCCCTTTTGTCCTCGCCTGCGTGCCTGAATCTGGCACTGGTGCGATCCCGTACTCGGAGTCGCACTCGCGCTCATGGCAACTATGTTGAGTTCGTGCTTCAATCATAGCCGTAATATCGTGATCATATCGTGTATACAACGGATTATACACATAAGCGTATGCATAGTATACATTATAATACGGGCTTACTATCACTGTGTATACGCTGTGTCTACAAGCGTACACGCGATGCGCTCATTGTCTGATTTTCGTATACTTCTATTGCATGGTTACCTTCAATTTTTTGTCAACATACATGTCCGAACGTAATATTTTCGAACCGTAGAGATCTGAACCTCGGTATTTCTGAACCATTGCATTTCTGAACTTAGGGTCTTTTGAGCCAGCGCATGTCTGAACATCGTATTTTCTGAACCAGTGCATTTCTGAATCTTGCATTTCCGAATCCTTCATTCCGAATCTACCATTTCCGAACCTATATTTCCGAACCTTGCATGTACGAGCTTACATGAGGGCAATGTAAAGAGGAGCTTTTTGAGCCCACCCACCCAACCTATGTGTATATGCAGATGTATATGTATATGTATATGTACACATATATGTATATATATATATGTATATGTATATGCATATGTATATGTATATGTAGATGTAGATGTAGATGTAGCTGTATATGTATATGTATATGTATATGTATATGTATATGCATATGCATATGTATATTACATGTATATGTATATGTATATGTATATGTCTTTGTATATGAATATGCATATGTATGTGTATGTGTATATGTATATGTATATGTATATGTATATGTGTATGTATATGTATATGTATATGTATATGTGTATGTATACATGTATGCATGTATGTATGTACATATGTATGTATGCATGTATGTATGTATGTATGTATATATTTTTATATAGATACCCCGCCCGAGGGGTGCAACGTGGCCAGTAGGGCCCAGGTCGCGCCAGATGGGCACGGGGGTCGGTGGAACTCACGAGGAGAAGAAACGCAAAGACACAATTCATCGTCGATCCCCCGGAAAACATATTGGGCAAATCGGGAAGTGGGGATGATGACGGAACCCAGAAAACATAGGAACATATGGGGAATCCGTGGATTTGTGTCTATTCATTTGTGTGTCCCTGGGCCCCCGTAGAAACGATGCTCAGCGGCCGTTCCTCCTTCTCGCCCCCTGGGGCCGCGGCGCCGGGCAAGTCCCTCCGCGCCGCCCTCCGTCGGCTGGTGCCCGCCGCGCGCTTCGCTCGCCCCGCGCGCCATCGCCCCTTCGCTTCTCGCGTTAATTCGGGCATGGCCGTCCACAGGAGAAATACTCAACAATGGTCAACAAAAATAGTCGGGGGAGGATCTTTCGACTAGTGCTGGCCATGTTTGCGTATCCAGTTGACAATTGTTCCGTTTTCCTTACAAGCTCCGCCTGTAGGAAGACATGCCCGACCTAACTCTCGCCCCCGCCCGCACCGCCACGAGGTTCCCCTGGGGGAGAGGTCAACGTTTTTTGCCGAGGGCTCCCGCGCTTCAGGCGTCGGGACTTGTTCATACAGAAGGCACGTCTCGCACCCGGCTTGCGTCGGCCACGACATACGAAGTGTGAAGTGATGCTTGACAGGGTCATGCAAATACAAGCGAAGACGAACGAAGCCGACACGTTGTGCCTTCTCGGCCACCATCCGAACTTTTTGCAGCGATGCGCTAATTTTCAGGGCGTAGCACCAACCCCAATACTTAGGAAATGCGGGGGGAATTCGGGGAACAACAATCTGAATAAGCATATACTTTCGGAAGGCGCGATCCGGGAGCCAGGAGAGGGGCGCTGTGCCGATCCAAAACGTCCGCGTGGACCTCCGACAGTTCTTGTTTATGTCGTTTTTGCCCTGAAACCTCAAAGCGTTCTATCCTCGGCGATCGACGATGGCGATGTTGACGAGACGGCGATGACGAGCGACGACGACGACGAGGATCGACGATCGACGATCGACGAGCGACGAGCGACGAGCGACAGCGACGGTGACGGTGACGAAAACGACGACGACGAGGACGTTGATGACGACGAAGACGACGACGATCGACGAGCGACGAGCGACGGCGACGGCGACGGTGACGAGCGACGAGCGACGAGCGACGCCGACGCCGCCGACGACGACGCCGACGACGAGGACGACGAAGACGACGACGATCGACGAGCTACGAGCAGCGGTGACGCCGACGACGACGACGACGACGCTCGATCCGAAGCTTTCTGCGGCGGGCGAGCCTCGGCCGCGGCAGGCGGACCTCGGCCTGCTGGGCGCCACCCCCGAGGCCCAGCAGCGGGCGGAGGCGCGGACGCTCGTCTGGCGCTCGTGCCTTCGAGCTCGCCGCCGCCGCCGCCGCCGTCGTCGTCGTCGTCGTCGTCGTCGTCGTCGTTGTCGGCGGCGGCGGCGGCGGCGTCGTCGGCGTCGTCGTCGCCTGGGCCGGCCTTCCCGACCCGCCCATCAGGGCTTACCCGACCAATCTGCCCGTCTGGTTCTGCCACGTGTTTTCTGGTCCTAGCCCTCCTCCCGCTAATCTCTCTAATGCTCCATCCTTCTCCTGCCCCCTTCCATTCGTCCTCTCTTCCCCTGTTTTAGGGGCTGCGCCAACTACACGTGGCAGGTAGGTAAGCTATACCCCCAAGGGGGATACGATCGAAGACAACTCGCACGGGTACCGAGGGTTTGGGATATACGTGTTGACTGGCATTCGAGCAGGTAAGAGCGAACAATTTTAAAATAATTATTGGATATTCATTTCTAGAGATCTCGCTTATTTGATTTCATTGGATTAAGATGATTATTGTACTAATTAGTGTTGATCTCCGGAAGCGGTTCCGCGCGCTCTCGCCTCGACGCCGGCTACATTTTCTTTGAAAACGATGCTCCTGCGCGAGCGTTGGCTTGAGCGTAAATGTGGACTCTTGGAGGCCCGGCTACAACGACAAAGGCTCCCGCTCGATATTTCCTCACAATTTACCCCGAGACGTCCTGGCTAGAGAGGCTCCCGAACTCAGGAACGGCGCTCTCGCTCGAGACTTCTTCGGAATTCAGTCGGGTTGGCGGAGGCCCAGCCACGACGACAAGAGCTCCTGCTCGATAATTCATCACGATTTGCTTCGGGAGCCCCTGGCCAGGAAGGCCCCCGAATTCAGGAACAGCGCTCTCGATCGAGAGTTTCTCGTTATTCAGTCAACTAGGTGGAGGCCGAACTACGACGACAAGGGATCTTGTTCGAGACTTCCTCAAGATGTATTCGCAAAGGCCCTTGCCAGAGGGGCCCCCGAACTCAAGAGTGGCGCTCTTGCTCGAGACTATCTCGTAACTCAGGCAAGTTGGTGGAGGCCCAGACACGGCGACAAGGGTTCCCGTTCGATATTTCTCCGTATGTATTCTGGGAGCCCCTGGCCAGAGAGGCCCCCGAACTCAGGAACGGCGCTCTCGCTCGAGAGTTCCTCGCACTTCAGTCACTGGCCGACAAGGAAGATATTCCCCCCAAATGGGGGTGCAATCGAAGATGAAGAGGGCGGAAATCGAGGGTTGGGGTATACAGAATGCAAGACGCGCGTGCCAGTAAGAGTTGTTGAACTCTCAGTACTGAAAAATATGTATGGTTGATCCCCCCTCCGGTGACCGTTGTGTTTTTCAATTGAAGTGCTTCCCCCAGGGCTCGCACCCTGTTTTTTGTCAGGGGAAGTCACGGGGCTCAAACTGGGCCCCTGGCCCACGGTTTACAACAACGGCTCCAGCTTGATATTTCTTCGCAATTTATTCCCACATCGCGCTCTCGCGCGGGACTTCCTCACAATTCATGTACGCATCGCGCTCTCGTGTGGCACTTCCTTGCAATTTATTCAGACGATGCGCCCTCGGCGCTCAGGAATCACGCTCTCGCTTTGGCTTTTCTCGTGATTTACTTGGGAATCGCGCTATCGCTCGGCATTTCTTCGCGATTCTGCAGGACCCACGCTTCAGCAACCCGTCTGCTGGACCTGGTCGCCTGGGCCCGCCTTCCCGACCTGCCCGCAAGGTTCAGCCCACCCGATCGTGGCCCCATAAGAAGCTTCACTGAAGGCCCCAGTAGGAAAGTTCGCATGGCGGCCTCGGGCCAGTTTGGCGCACCCCTCATGAGGATCGTGGCCCCATTGGGAGCTCCACCGAAGGCCCCTGTGGGAAAGTTCGCATGGCGGCCTCGGGCCAGTTCGGCGCACTCCTCGCGAGGACCGTGGCCCCATAGGGAGCTTCACCGAAGGCCCCAATGGGAAAGTTCGCATGGCGGCCTGGGGCCAGTTCGGCGCACCCCTCACGAGGATCGTGGCCCCATAGGGAGCTTCACCGAGGGCCCCTGTGGGAAAGTTCGCATGGCGGCCTCGGGCCAGTTCGGCCCACCCCTCACGAGGACCGTGGCCCCATACGGAGCCCCATCGAACATGATAGTCACGACTGCGGTACTCACAGTTGCATATGGTTCGGTCCTTCGCCAGTCTAATTTTGTTTCCAAAGCTGTTGAACGATTTTGGCTTTCTCGCTCGTTTGGCTTCCCAACGCTCCAAGGCGGCCCGAGACGCTTCCAAGAACACGCCCAGACTGCCCGACAGGCCCCTATGAGAGCCCCAAGAAGCCCCTAGAGGGCCCCAAGACGGCCCAAGACGCCTCCAAGACATCCCCAGAGGGGTCCAGACGAGGGGCCCGAACGGACATTTCGAGCCCTGGGCCCCGAGAGGCCCCCAGGAAGCCCCAAGAAGCCCCAAGAGGCCCCCAAGAGGCCCCAAGAGGCTTCCAAGAGGCCTCCGCGACGCCTCCGAGAGGCTCCCAAGAGAGGTAACATGAAATAGTTCAAGCCCACGAATAGCTCCGAGTAAGCCTCAAAGCCCCCGAGAGATCGCCCTCCCCCAGGATCCTTAGGGAATCACTTTCGGGGTCCACACTTAATTATGCACCCAAAAGGCCGGCGGCGCGCTGACAGAGGGGGGTTCGGCGGCACACGCGACTTGGCCTGGAACGCCGGCTGCTCCCCAGCGTCGGCCTCTTCTCCTCCTGTGGCCCCCCACTGCTGCCTCGCGTTACTTCGTATGCTCCTCCCTCCTCTCTCCTGTACCTCTCCGAGTTCCACTGTCCCCCTTCCTCCGCACGGTGGCTGCAAGTTCTGCAGCACCACTCTTTCACGGCATGGTCATTTAGCTTTCGCCTTTGCGTTTCACCTTGCTTTGTGCTCGGATCTTTGTTGCGCCTGCAGTGACAAGTGATTTCGCTTTGTGCAGCGTTTTTTTTTTTTTTTTTTTTTTGTTGCTGTTTTTTTTCCGAGGCTTCCAGAGCACTATGCATTTAGCTGCTTCTCTATCGAGCACCAGGCTGCCACCGCAGCCATAGTTACCTAGATTTGCATTCGTGTCTCCTTGGGCCTGTGCTCCATCGGGAGCGGCTGCAGTGCCAGGCTCGAGCCTCGGGCAGTCGAGCCTACATGCAGGCCTCTGGGTCCCTCCTGCTCCATATCTCCTCTTCGCCCCGTCCTTTCTTCTAAGTGCAACCTTGGCGGTACACGGTACACTGCGAGGCTGGTGCCATGAGCTGTTACTCTGCCAGTGGCTCACATACTCTACGCGCGTTTTGCCTCTGGGTTGGCTATTGTGTCTCCTCTGTCCAAGTGCTTTGTTGTAGGACTGCAGCTTTCCAGCCCGTGCCGTTACAGTGACAAGTATGACTTAGTGCGGTGCCCTGTGAAACCTGAGAGGTTTTAAATGCTATCCAGGTATTTATCCCTTATGTTCTGTGTCTTCTTTTCTCCGCCACGCCTGACGCAAATGCTGCACAGGTATGAACCCTTGCGATGATGGGAAAGCCGCCACTTTGGCTACGCTTCAGTGCACTTCTGGAGGAAGAGTATTCGAACGCGTGGAGGACTCCTGCTGACGAGCACGCGTCAATGGAGCACTGCTTGCAGGTTGCAGGCGTAAGGACCACCCCTGTTTCACGCCCCCCCCTGCCTCTCCCGTCCCACTCCGCATGGTGGAACAAAATTTGCTCACTCGTTGTCCATACCCTCCCCCTCCGCACAGTGGCACAAAGCTTGTTCACTCGTTGTGTATATATTCCTCACGTCTCTGCCATGCACGGCTGCGTGTTTGCGTGTTGACAGGCGTTGTCAGAGCTTCGAAGATTGTTTCACGGAGGTTTTCTGCATATTCCAATATCTGAGTCCCTCAATAGTTTGGGGACCTTGGTCTATAGCTACCCCCCAGACTACATGTATCCCCCCCCGGACTACAGGTACGCGATTCGGAGGCATGAGGTGCCTGGATAGTTCATGGCGAGCCGCAGCGTTTCCAATGATTGGAACGCAAAGATGTGCGAGCGCGCCCGGCAGGCCTGGCCTTACGGTACACGGGTGAGGGGGAGAGATACGACGACGATGACCAGGCCCGAGGGGGACGTTTATTTTTGCTTTAGTTTTAGCGAGCTTCTTCCGCGCTGGTCGGCCGAATCTCGTTGGCGTCGTCGTCGTCGTCGCCGTCGGCAAACGTACGTGCAAACGCACATTGCAGCGCTCGTCGCGCAATTCGCAACATTTTTTCTCTTCTACGACTTGCTTGTGTTGGCGTGCGGACGCACACGGAAGTGCTCTTCTCTGCCTGGCGCCCCCACCCCTTCGCTGACAAGGAGAGCTGGAGTATCCGCAAAAACGTTGTCGCTGACGTCGACGCCGTCGTCGTCGTCGTCGTTCAGGGTCGGCGGCACTGGCCGTAAGGCCTCTCCAATAGATTCAGATGGGCCAGTGGGTTTCCAGGACGGTTCAAGATGGTATCAAACATGCTTGCGGCGAATCACCGCCGCCCCTTGCCTTGTGGGAAGCGCCTCTGTGGCTAAACATTGAGTCCCAGCTTAGCCAGGATATCGGACTATATGTTCCCCCAGCGAGGAAGAGGTGGAGAATCAGGAGGGCGAGAAGGAGGAATATGAAGAGGAGGAGGAGGAGGAGGCCTCTTGGGAGCCTCTTAGGGCACCCTTGGGGCCTCCTTGGAGCTAGCTTCCTGGGGGCCTCTTGGAGGCCTCTTTGAGGCCTCCTTGGCCTCTTTGGGACCTTTTGGGGCTTCTCGGGGGTGTCTTTGGCCGCCTTGGGGCGTTCCTGGCCCGTGTGACGCCATCGGAAGCCGTTTTGGGGGCCTCTCTGAACCGACTTGGGGCCCTCTTGAGGCGATTCAGGGCCGTCTTGGGGGCCGTCTTGCGCGTCTTGGAGCCGTCTTGCGGGGCCTCTTGGGCCGTCATGCGGTGATCTTGGAGGCCTCTTGGGCGATCTTGGGGCGACCTTTG